AGATATACAATTATTGTTTAGATAAGCAATAGTTATCTGTTTGGTCAAAGAAACGGTATGGCCGAGGGCAGCATAACGTCCAGTGATTTTAACCGCACCGGCAACGGCCCAATTGCAAATTCTACACCAAAAGCAGAATACTCGAAGCCGGAACCCACGTCGAACGTTGAAGAGAAACCTATCGTATGTTTTTGCAATCATTTTGCTGACGGCCGGCGGGTATTCCGTAATGGGAAGTAGCATTGTAATCGTGCTAATCGAGAACTCGATGAATGAAAGTAATTTCCGGTAGAAAGAGCAATCGAGCTAAAAATGCATAAAGTATCTCTTCTTGAGCGCACAAAAAGAAAACAGGAGTGAAAGTATTTCCCTTGTGAGAAAAGTGCTGGTTACGTTGTTGAGAACCGCTGATTGTAGCCTATCATCATGAGAATTTGAGCACTAAAAATATTTACTTTGCTGTGAATGCAGCCCTCTTTCGCGGATGAATATGGGCTGAAATGGAATCGAACCGTTCCTCTTCATATCCGGACGCTATATGCTAGAATTACACTGCCACTCCTCCTGTCCAACGTACAGCCTGGACCACTTTTATTGTATATTTGTCTTTAAGTCAGCATACACTTTTTTTAAATATCTGTATATAGGAAGTGAAAATTTTTCGTGGCAACTTCCCCTTTGTCGGCTTTTCGCGAATTTTCAACGACATATTTGAAGTGGTTTTCCGACAAAGTGATTTCGGATATGTTGAAAGTAAACGTATTTTGTTGCACAGAAGCACCCTGTGCTACATCTGCTTCTGTCCTGCACACCTTCCTATAGAAAACACATTTTTCAGTCCAAAGGAGAAGGCTGGAATCCTCATTTACATTTTTATTGATCTTTAAATTTTATTATGCGAATTTATCGCGCATATTGAATAGAATTTTTTGCAGATGGTGGAGCAAGCAAAACATGTATCGATGAGACGAAAAACGAAATATGGTTCCTATAAAACACTCAATGATGACGCTTACAAGTTTGTTTTTCCTGATTTTTCTTTTCGCATCAAACAAGAATTCTAATCGTTTAGGGAAAAAGATTCATTATTTTGCCATAAAAGTTATACTTTGATCAACTATGATTCGTAGCTGGTTTTTCAGCTACACACCTGTCAATTTTTCCAACCTCTCTGACTGGAGACGTTCGCGAAAACTTGGCCAGGCCGACTATCCGATGGTCAGCCTGGCTAAGTTTTCTCGAACGTCATCAGTCTTATTTACCATGAGGAACAACTAGGAGATTATGCGTTGTAATTTCTGAAGAGTACAACCCAGTACTTTGAAATTTTTTCAAATTCTTTATACATTCAATTTCAGCAGTGATATGGACGATTTTTGCGATCCGGATTTCTATCTAACTTATAAGCCGCAACCAACTGCCAAAGCAGCACCTTTTACTAGCCACGTTAAGTCACCCGTGGTATCCAGTCAACTAAATGGCGATTTAATCAGCAATAACAGAAAGCCACAATCCACGCTGGATCTGAATTCTTCAGGCTATCGAGTTCCAGAAACATCTAATAAACAGCGAAACTTTGCAAATCATGAAACAGTAGCAGCAGCAGCATCGGCAACGAATAGCGCCGGCTCGGCAAGTGTCGAATTGTCCCGGAGGCCGCTCAACGATCTTTCGCAGCAGTATGTTTTTCATTATCTCAACGGTTCTTGCTAAATAATACATCTGGAGATGTCTATTTAGACACGCTATGATTGTCAGACGCTCTACCGAACATCTGCCACTAGTTTCGACAATTTCACCGTAATCCTGAGGTTTAGTCATTGTGAAGCGAGCTGTGCACTGAAACACCAAGTAGTACCATCCATCCTCTGAAATCCGATATGCATGAAAATCAGAAATCCATATATATGCACTTTGAGGTAGCGGAAGAGTGCAGTGCGGTAAAAGACATGTGGGGCGCCCTGCACCAGGATAATGGATAGTTGTAGGTTTCTTTACGAAGAGTTGAAACTTTCCGATGTCAGCAAGCGAAAACTGCTCAGTGGAGTAGCTGAAGAAGAAGACATGCTGTTGTTTCTTATTCCTCCAGAGCTCTCAGCTAAAGAATAGACAGGGAAATTGCGATCTGGTAGGATATGAAGGATTCGTCGTGTAAA